ACACACACACACACACACACACACACACACACACACACACACACACGTTTCCAAGATCTCCAAGTTAATTCAATCCATGGTAGGATTTGTGTGCTTAAATTTTTCATCCAAGGAATAAGAAAACAAGGGAATATTATGACTGATTTTAATTCTGTTCTTTGCCAACCAGAAATTAGCTGTGTGGAATAAGAAAAGTATTTGCCTCGGGGCATCCTTTAAAACTTAACATGCACATGCAGCTTCATCTGGCGTCTATTAATGGTACAGCGTGAGCTCTGTAATGTCAAATGACCTGGAACCAAATTTGACTCTAGCTCTGGATATCAAGCAACAAGGCTCTCAGTTTACCTTAAGTCTGCTCATGAGGAAGTTGGAAAACCTACACAGTTGAGAGCTTCATGGAGAAGATAAAAGGCATTAGGCACACTGCCTGGAAGAATGTGCTAGAAGAAAATGATTCCAGAAAGCTTTTTACCAAGGAAGATCCTTATGGGCATCCCTGGCTGCTTTATTACAACTTTAACTGATGTCGTCTTTCTCAGAACTAACCACCACCACTGAGGATGTTTAGGTAGAATATTGTATTCGCATCCTCACTTTTCTCAGAAATTTACTCAGCCTAATTCTTTTTTTTTTAATTTACATAAAAGTATAATGTTGATTAGGGGATCTAAACCAAACCCAGTGACTATATGCACTGGTAATAATGATCTTCGGATGACAGGGATTCTCTCTCTACTCGCTTTGTGATTTGGAGCTTTTGAGACTTTTATCCTGTTATTTTCCATGTTGCTGCAGCTTACACTGTATGGATGTTAGTCGCATTTGCATCTAAACTTAATTCAGAGAAACATATCAATGACAATTAATTCAAACAGCTACTCTTGTTTATTATCTTAGGGTAGGGGACAGTGCCGATCACACTGTCCATTCTCTGAGGCTTCATTTGGCTTTAATTACCTTGGTTTGCAGAATAGATCATGTTAAAGGTGAAACACACAACTGAAAATTCTGAAACATTGGTTTGATTGAGTCCCTTAAAATTTTAGGGAACAATGGAATTAATTTATGAAATTGAAATGAAAGAAACACATTTGACATATGAATCTTGACCATTCAGAAATACTCATGCTCTTTTAAGAATATGCGGGAAATATGAAAGTTCCTTTCTCTTCAGAAAACAAAAAACTCCACTGCTCTCCATGCTGCTCATGGCTCATTGTGCTCCTGCTTTACAATAGTCCAGTGGAGGACGACATCACTTATTCAAGCAAGCTCTTTCTCTTCTCCTCTACTGCCATGGAAAGAGACTGATGTACTCATCTTTGGGACTTTGATAGGTTAATTGGAAGCTGTTCAAAAACAAGTTTATTGGGGGGGGGAATGAATATAGGAAATTTTTTTTAAAAGGAAGCAACTTTTTTGTTGTTTTTCAAGAGAGGGTTTCTCTGTGTAGTTTTGGTGCTTGTCCTGGCTCTCGCTGTGTAGACCTGGCTGGCCTCGAACTCGCCTGGCTCTGCCTCCTGAGTGCTGGGATTAAAGGCGTGCACCACCACTCCCTGGCATATTCCAGGAGCTTTTAAAGACAAGAAAAGATGAAAGGAAAGATAGAAACCCGCTTTGCCTCATAGGAAATGAGACATTTGCTACATGATGGTTGGGTTTTTTTTTTTTTTAAAGCATGCTCATTTTCTCAATATATTCAAATCCATGATTTCTTAATAAGAAGTATCTCTTGCTGACTTTGTCTTTGAAAAACCCTTTCAATAGAATCTTAACATACAATGTAAAACTCTTTCTGTAATCCAACCATTGAGACAGTATGGTCTCGTAATAAACAACAACAAACACAAGCAACCCTCCTTTAAATCAGGCAGAACAATTGAATTCTGCCTCCTGGAACAAATTGTGTGACATCTCAGACTTGATCACTTTCCCAATTTGATCTCACTGTGTGGCTCCAAGGGTTCCATGAGGTAAGAGGGCCCCAGCAGGTAGCAGCAGGAACTCAGGAAGGCCAGCTTTTTCTGCACTTTGTGTCCACGCCCTGGCCATCACTAGAGGATAAATGAGACCACATACTGATCCAAGACTTCCTCCTAAGCATGTTTCTTTGACTACTGAAACAACCACTAAACTGTAGGATCCTGTCCAAACATTCAGCACCCGGATGAACCAGTCTCCCAAATGGTCCACACCTGTGAGATTTTTAGATGCCCTAACATTTAGATTGCCACCAACATTTACAGTTGCCATACTACCCCTTGTTTATTGGAATTGTGGGTGAGAACCCAGAATTCCAAGCCACAAACACAGCCAGAGCCCTCATGCTCCAGAGTCCCCAAGAAAGTGAGTAAAGAGACTGTGCACACCAATAACCCCTGTTAGAATGATTTATCACCATGAAAGCTAGAGCTAGAAACCTACTCATATTTACAGGTAAAGGAACTGAGGCCCAGATTTATAAGAGTTGCGTGCACAGCCAATTTACACACAAGTGAGACCAGAACTCTGGTTGTCTGGATAAACTCTGGTGCTCTGCATACTTCCACTCTATGGTAAGCCTATTTGGATCTCTTTTAAGCCCTGAGGATATAGGCCAGTTCCCATGGTTTTGGCTTCTGCTGAATCCAAAATGTTTTCCAAGCACGATTTAAACACTGCCTTTGCTTTGTCTGCCCCACCCTCTGGATAACTGCTCCCAGTGTCTCATAAACCAGAGACTTATGTAGGCACTAACATGCCAAGATATTGGCTGCAAGACAGCAGACCCCACCCCAAACCCTGTACCTTTAAATGCATATTAAAGTCCTGCCTTTCGAAGGGTTAAACGTTTTATTTAAACCAGACTTTCATATTTTAAAAACACATACACACTTCTTTTCACTAAGAATGCTCAAGGAAAGTACACTAGTTACTTGTGTTTCTTAATTGTCTTTTCCCCCTTTTCCTGTGAACCAAAAAAGATATTAGTAGATTAAGTTGGCTTTCTTTCGAAATTGCCAAGAACCTACAGCTTACATTAGTCACCCCCATTAAGGCCACAGATTAAATGTCAGGATGTAGTGTAAATGTTTTCCAAGGGAAACGGAAAACATGTTACATGAATTTTGAGCAAACTGTAACGAACACTAACGTGAATAGCCTTCCGCTGACAACTACTGCTTCATACACGAAATAACAGTAAGAGCTGTGAACAACCAATTCCTAACACTGTGTCAGAAAAAGCAGCATGTTGACCTGTCCTAGGTGCCTACATTTCTGCCCCAGGGGTTCCTCCTGCCTACCTTTTTTTCCTGATCCAAACACCCTGCACTTAGGCAACCTACTCTTGTAAAAAAAAAGATAAGGGCATTTTTAACCCCCTGGCCAATGCATTTATGAACCTCAGAGCTAAGGCAAGTTTGACCCTTGACTATAGAGTAGCACCTAGAACTTCTAACCAGCAGTGACCACACATGTCTTCATCATTCTACTGAATTCATAGAACCAAGTCTAGAAATTTTTCAGTGAAGGAAGAAGGATGAATATACAGAGTCAGTCTCATGGACCACCCTCCATAATGACTGAAGGAAGGAGAGGTTTCTGACTGTACAGTCAGTTTCATGGATCACCCTCTGTAATGATTGAAGGAAGGAGAGGTTCTGACTGTACAGTTAGTTTCATGGATCACCCTCCATAATGACTGAAGGAAGGAGAGGTTCTGACTGTACAGTCGGTTTTATGTGGACTGCCTCCTGGATTTGAATCTTGTGCAGACAGTAGGCAATTCCATGACAGAGAGTTTACCAGAAAACATCCGATCAGGTTTCTGAGGATCATCTGGTAACACCTTCTTTAATTTAGAAAGACTTTCTTGATTCACACTCCTTTCTGTACCTTTCTAGGGAGCCCTGTGGACTTTCCCAAAATAAGAATAGAATGCTGGGGCATCTGGAGAAGGCTAACTACAAGTTTTGTTCCATGATGGTCCCCTGATCCACTGAAGCTGTTGATACCGTTACTGTTACAGTCAGGGGAACGGGCCCACTGGTCTTTATTGCAAGGGAGCTATTACACAGTTTTATTTTGAGTAAGTTGCTCAGAAGAGCATTTGGCATTTGTTACCTCACTGTAATCCAGACACAAAATAATTTTCCTTCCAAGACTGAAACAATTTAGAGAAGCAAGACAACCATCTATGGCTGCACAGTGGTATTTACTCAAATGCCATACTGACTGTCTCGCACAAATGGCCCAGAATCTTGGGGAAAGAGTAGTCAATGAATTGCAGCATGTCTAGATGAGGTTTCCTAGAGATGGTGGGAATGAGATCATCCTTGAAGAGGCAGATTTTGATACATGACACAGAGTTTTCTGGGGACACAGCAG